CTTAGTCAGCAACCGTTTCTAAGCAACGGACTGGAAGATCCTTCGAATCCTCCTCCTGTATATCTGGTCCAAAACACAAGATGGTAAATATAGACTTATGACGTCATTGAGTGCATTAACTTCCCCTCCCTACCCACACCTGGTCGACCACCTAATTTCTAAAATGTTTTTGTATTTAAGTCCTGGGTTTTCAATTTCTTGAGTATTATTTTTTTATTTATGAATTAGTACTCAAGAAGATACATTATTAGAGATTTATTAGACTCAAACAAAAAATCATGTTTCCAGAGCGTTTGCAATAGACCTTTTGGTTTGGGTGTAATCTTTTCCTATTTCGGTCGACCCACGTGCGATTCTCTTGAGAATAAGATTCTTTGTTTGAGTTGTATCCATATTTATGTGTCTTCTCATACACAACCGTTAAACAAAGAAATGATACTCAAGGGAATGACACGTGGTCTGAAATGGCTATGTATTAGTGACCTAAAACTTTCAAAAAGTTAGCGCCGTTGAAACATAGAAAAATAAGAAAAAATATTTAAACACCTCGATAACCACCTCCTCTTCTTCTACTCGTATTTTCTTCTCGGTTATGTGCCCATATGTATAGTTTATATTATAACGTATATCTTTTTCATTTTCTTTAACTCCAGTGAACCAGAACCGAGACGAAAAAGACGAAAAACAGAACCAGACATGATGATGAGTGACAGCCCCGTTGGCTTGGCAACCATCAAGAATGAACCTGGTATGGTTGTCTTGACGACGAATTGTTTTACGTATGTTCGGTTGTCTTGACAACGCGTTGTTTTTCGTATGTTCGGTTGTCTTGACCACGTGTTATTTTACGTATGTTCGGTTGTCTTGACGACGTGTTGTTTTTCGTATGTTCGTTTGTCTTTATGACGTGTTGTTTTGCTTGTGCCTGGTTGTCTTGGCGACGTATTTATTTGTGCTCAAGCCTCTTGACGTGTTGTATTCATAGCTTCCTGTTGTCTTGACAATGTGTTGTTTTGGTTATCATAGGTTGCCTTGACGACGTATTCATCGATACCGATAGCATAAGCAGCAGTCTTTCCCCTGACGTTTATTCAGGCCAGATTTCACCAGACGCAGATTCCACCTCGTATCAGTGTTTAAAATGGTTAGACTTCAAGAAACCACAATGGAATGACCTGTACGATGAATCCTGCAACATAAYGTAAGATCCTAGATTATAAGTTTTACAATAACTTACAAATTTCTCGCACGCTGATTGGTTATTTTTTATCATCAATAAGAGGACAGACAGATAAAGCTGACGTCAACGAGCGCGCGCTCTTTTCGTTGGTTGTTTTCATCACTAAAAATGAGAAGTTTTTATCGTTTTTGTTATTGTAAAAAAAACAAATAGACATCATTTCTTTATGTGTCTGTCCTCTTATTGATGATAAATTTTGCCACCACATTGACAAAGTAGTGTGGATCCATGAGGCGTAATTTGTTAAATATATATATAGAATACTTTATAGAAAGTTCTTTGTACGGGCATATGTTCATGGATTTTTCATTTATGCAGATTCACACTACTTTGACAATGTGATGACGCAATTTATCGTCAACAAGAGACCAGACACATATATAAAAAACTGGTCTTTTTGTTAAATACACTCAACTCTCGTTATTGTAGATACCCAGGGACCGTCCCAGATGTTCGTAATAGCGAGAGTTAATCGCGGTGCTTTCGTGCTGTGTACTCTCATAAAGCACACACCACAACCAATTAGACGATGTTCACGATAGTTTTCTGATAATATCTGTTTTTCAGGCCTACTCTTGATTTTCATGTCGACGCTGACAAAGGATTCAACTTTTCGTTCGCTGATGACGCGTTTGTTTGTCAGAAGAAAAACCATTTCCAGGTAATTATAATGGTTCAAAAATTTTTTCGAATGGTTATGAAAAACTTACAAACTTATTGAATTCTTTAGATTGGGTGTAATCTCTCACATCTCAGACCACGAGTCATTCCCTAGAGTATTATTTCTTTGTTTAACGGTTGCACATGAGAAGACACATGAATACGGATACGACTCAAACAAAGAATCTTATTCTCAAGTAAATGACACGTGGTCTGAAAACATTTCACCCACGCGCTGTAGTTTGATTGGTCAGTTAAGACGTAATACACAATTACTAACGATACTTTCTTCTCAGATCACAGTCACTGTTAAAACGCCCATTACTCCAAAATACATCAAAGTTAAGGTATGAATTACTAGATTAGTTTGTTACGATACGATTTCTGTTGACAAGAACGATGGTAATAAGATCCATGAGATTCATTCAGCTGATTAATACCAAGCAATAGAATACTCTCTGGTTGATAGCACATGACGGGCAGTGTTTGCCTGTCATTGTAG